GTCCCCTCCCGCCCCACCCCCGCGGGGGTTGCTGCCCGCTGTGCCCGCTTCTCTTCCCCCCGCCCCTCGCGCCCCGCCTTGTGCAGGTGAATCTCCCTCTCCGCCCTCCGCAGGTGAACCCCACCCCGGCGCCCTGGGCAGCGTGTCCGCAGGGCGGTATTGTGTGTGGCCTGGCCCAGGGCTTTAGTGGTCCCTGGCTGGCAGCGTGGCAGGCTAAGCGCTGTCCTGCCCTCGGTGTGTGCGTGTTGGGGGGGTTGCCTGGCTTTGGGGCTGCAGTGGGATTAAAAACGAAGGATGGGAGTTTCCCTTCTGACTCAGCGCCTTTAAAAATGGCTGTTTAGCAGCCACCCAAGGGCCCGGCATAAATTGCGTGCCTGCTTTATTCTTCTTCACTTTTGCAAGGCAGTGAGTGTATCTACAGGACTATAAGGCTAATGCGATTTAATCAAAATACTGGGACTACTAGTTCAGCCGGGTAGCTTGAGACAAAAGATTTTTTTTTTTTTTTTTGGAAAAGCGTACTTGTTAGAGATTTTGCTGTATGATTATGAATATTTATCAGCTCTATGTGTATTCACAATAGAGAAAGCAAGAGTCAAAGTGGATTTTAAACATTTGAGGATGTTTAATTCAAGCCATGTCTTCATTCAGGCTTTCCTCATGTATGTTGTGAGGTACAGTTGAATTTCTCTATGCAGAACAATATCTTTAACTGGTTCTAATTTTTATACCCACTTACATTGGTAAAACTTAAAGTGAAGGTTGAAGCTCTCTTATTCGCTGTGTACATGTAGTACAAATATAAAGTTACCAACTTTTAAAAGGTAAGTGGTAGATGCTTACAAAAACAGATGCATTGAACCCAGTTTTTTACTCTTATTTAAGTTAAATATCATTAAAGTGTTCATTTTTCGTATTTTAAAATTCTTCTGTGAAAGCATGGACTTGAGATGATTCTGTCCCACTCTAAAATATGTATTATTTATTTCACACACTTCAACAGTTCTTCTGGTGCTGTAGCAGTCTTGTAAATGTGAAGCTTATTTTTGCTGCCTGTGCATTATTACCTATTTAAATCATAGGAAACCTTGAGTAACAGTACAATAATGTTGTGAATATGAATTCCTAGCCCCATCAACATAATGTAGGCCATCAAATAGATTATTTAAATATTGACTAAAATGCCATGTAATAACTTTTAACTAATTGAAAATAAGTGTATTCTAAAAACGCTGAATAGATGCTTAACTGTAGCATCTCTATAGTATAAAATATTTTTCTCCATATATACCATTATATTTTCAAATTAAGGCTTTCACATAGGGATTGACAAGTGACACAAAATAACATGACATGAGGCTTGTATCCTTACTAGTGTGGTCCAGTGGCAACTTTCTTACGAAATGATAAGGATGCCCACATTTGTTTCTTGGCACCTTCTCCTTCACATCAGGGTATACTCCTTAGATCCTGCTTGTAGAATTCTTTCTTTCATACTGTCTGTAGCTTAGTGGATAAATTACAAGCTTGAATCAACCCATATCGTCCTAGCTGCTGAAAGGAAAGAGGAACATGTTTTTTTCCTCAGGTCTTGTTTACATACTGCTATGATGTATGCAGCAGGGGTCAATTTAGTGCAGTGGTCCCCAACCATTTGGAGGTGCCAGGGCGCGGGGCTGTTCACCCGCTGGGCGCCAGAGGGCAGGGACACTCGTGCGCCCGGGGGCGGGGCCGCACATATGCCACACCCCCATGAGTCACGTGCCTGGGGCCAGCAACTCTATGCACCACGTGGCCACGGGCGGGGCCACCCACTCACCGCAAGCCTGGGGCTGGCACCCCCCCCCATACCCGCGCGGCCAGGGCCGGCACTCCCCCTATAGCTGCGCGCCTGGGGCCGGGGCAGCCAATTTGCCACGTGCCTGGGGCCAGGGCGGCCAATTCGCCGCATGACCAGGACTGGCGCTCCCCATGTGCCCGGGGCAGGTGCTGCGTATGCGCAGCGCGCACCTGTGGCCAGCACTGAGCATGCGCCATGTACCCAGGGTGGGGTCAACCCCGAGCACTTGGCGGGCTCACACAAATGCCCCTGCGGGCACCATGTTGGGGACCACTGATTTAGGGGATCTAGCACAGTGGTCTCCAACCTTTTTACACCCGAGATCACTTTTTAAATTTCAGGGCAAGACAAGATCTACCCTAGCCCTTCCCTAAGACCCCACCTATTCCTTGAATCCCCTCTCCATTCCCCTCCTCTCCATTATTTGCTGTCCCCAGCTCTTACTCACTCTCACTGGATTAAGACCGGAGGTGAGGGATTTGGGTGTTGGAAGGGATGAGAGGTGCAAGCTCTGGAAGGGAATTTGGGTGCTGGAGGAGGTGGAGAAGGGGATGCTCACTCAGGGAGTGGGTTCCCAGGCTGGAGAATGTTGGGATAAGGTGGACGATTGGGGTGCTGAGTAAGCTGCAGGCTTGTGGATGTGCTGGTGTAGGAGTTTGGGTTGAGGTATATGAAGGGCACAGGGTTGGGTGTATGATGGGCTCAGGGCATAGGTTTGCAGTGTGTGGATGGTGCAGGAGCATTGTGGCAGAAGACTGAGGATGTGAGGGTGCAGGAGTTTGGGGATGTAAAAGGTTCAGGGCATGGGGTTCAGGTGTGTGAGGGGCTCAGGTTAGGGATCTGTGGTGGGTACAGGAGTATTATGATGCTGTGGCCAGATGGGGGCTTGTTGGCCAAGTATAGACGTGCGCAGCACATTTCATTAGGGTGTGCGCCCAAAGAATTTTTTTAAAATGTACTCTTTGACCCCCATTAGCCTCACCCCCATTAGCCACTCCCCCTGGCTCCCATTAGCCACACCTCTGGAGGTAACACTATCGGTGCAATATGGACACGTGACCAGAAGTAAAAGGTGTCATGTGACCCCCCCCCCCCCAAGGACTTTTCCCACCATCCACTTACCAATAGGGATTAGTTTGGCCCTCACCAAACCCCCCTCATGCAAC